CTGTCTTTTGAGACAGGGTCTCGCTATGCAGTTCAGGCTGGCCTTGAGCTCACTTTGTAGCCCAGGCTGGTTTCAAACTTGCAATGATCCTCCTGCCTCAGCCTCCTGAGTGCTGGGATTACAGGCGTGCACCACCAGGCCTGGCCTGAATTGTCTTAATTGCTGCAGGTCTCTGGCTGTGGAGACAGGATTGTTCATTTGTCAGCAGGGATTAGGGCCCACCAAGCAGAAGAGCAGCAATGTCCTTTTAGGTCAGTGTGCTGTCATTAGTACTCAAGGGTTGTTTTCAGCAGTGCTGGGCTGGGTGCCCCATAGAGAATGCCTGAACCCCAAAGAACATTATTCTGGGTGTACAACGTTCTGGAGAGAACCATAGCAAGCTGGTACGGGTTTTTGTTGTCTATTAATATCTGCTACACTGTAGTCATAAAACAGGTTTCAATGTATCAAAATCTTCCAGGCCAGGTGCAGTGGCATGCCTATAATCCCAGCTACTCAAATCTGAAGCAGGAGGAGTGTGAGTTTTGAGATCAGCCTGGGCAAAGAAATAAAGTCCCAAACCAATTCCTCTTGATTTAGTAGTCTCAGATGATTCTAGAATCCTTTTGTTTTTTGAGACAGGGTCTTGCTGTGCAGTGTAGGCTTGCCATGAACTTGTGATCCTGCTACTTCAGGCCCTAGTGCTGGGATGACAGGGGTTCACCATGCCTGGCGCTGCAGTCCTTTTAAAAACACATTCTCAGAGAAAGTTACCATTGTTTCTATAGTTGTACCGGGGCCTGGATAGGAAATCAAGACCTGCGCCTCTCAACTCAGTGTTTCAGTAAGCATACGATGAGTTCTGTCAGGTTTGCATTGTAGTCAGAGGTGGCAGATGATAATCAAATCAGGAAAAAAAAACAAGTTGGGGTAAGCGACAATGGGAGTACCACTTCATACAGTGATTAGGGAAGAAGTCACTACTGTGATGTGGAGTTCAGTGTCCAAAGGGAGTGCCTCATATCTAGGACTTTAACAGGTAAGAGTTGGTGAAAATACAGAGAAGCAAAAACTTGCCTGAAACACAGGCTACTCTGGCTGAAGATGGACTGGTGAGCTGAATAGTACAGATCAGAGGGAAAGCAGTGGTATCTAGATCCTATATGGCCTCACTGGTAATTTTAAGAACCTTGTCTTATGGTCTAAGACTCAAGAATAAATCAAGCAAAGTCTGTTTTATGGCTTAGTGAATTATTCTGAGTTCTGAGTGAAGACTAGTCTGCAGCAAAGCAACCGCAGGAGCAGGAAGATATTATTTGGGGGTGGTGGCAATCATCCAGATGGGAGGATTATGGAGTGGAGGGACAGTATTGGAAGGATATGGCAAGGCCAGGTTTTATTTTGATGGACTCAATGTGGGGTGTAAGACCCAAAAGCCAGGTGTGGTGGTGCATGCCTGTAATCCCAGCCCTTGGGAAGGTGAGGTAGGATTGCCTGGAGTTTGAGGCCAGCCGGAGCTACATAGTCTCAAAAAAAAAAAAAAGACAGGAACCCAGCAAGAACCTTTCTGCAGCCCGAGGGGACATACAGTCTTGAGGGCATCTGGTTCTTAGATTTTGGCCTCTTTTTTCCCATTTTTCCCCACTCCATAGTATGTATCATATGTACCTATCAGAACAGAGGTTCCTTGACAAACGGAGCTGTCTTCACTGGTACATACCCTTGTTTTCCCCAAGCATACTTCTTACATGAACAGGTGGATAACTCAATTGATCCATATGACAAACTAAATATTGCAACAGAGAAAAATTTTTTTCTTCCTAAAGTACAAACTCTTCCACTAACCTCAGATAAGGTTATTGTGTTGCATATACAATCATACAAGAATAAATCTTTCAAATAAATTGGTTTAATTCCAGATACAGAATTCAGAGTAGAACAAAGATTCAAAGAGCAGACTATGGCAGAATTATAGGCTGGGTTTACTTTAAATTCACAGCTGAGGTAGGAATAGTTGAATGAAAACTAGAGACAATAAGCCACTGTATGGGTTTTTCTTTTTTCTACAAAATTTTATTCTTAAATGTACAACAGACTCCAAGAACACACTCCATTCTAGTTATAGGTGTCAAGAGATGTTATGGCAGGGAATCCAGATATCTGAATAGTAATGGAATCCAGGATCACCATCATCTTAGGCACAAGGAACAGTTTATTTTTTGCCAGACTTCTTAATTCCACCTGTGGCTGCAAAAGGAAAAAAAAAAAAACCTCAGAATAATACAGTTTTTAAGGTAAAAGCCCATGGATTTGATGTGGATCCTAGTAAGGCTTGGTTCTTGCATAATGTATTCACTTTGATGAAGGCATGAACTAATTTAGTTTCCCGATACCTACCTGGGGTGAAGACATAAGGAGGCTGAGGAAGGGGTACAAGCAATGGCTGTACATTGTTCCCCATCCACACTGTTGGGTACTTCATGCATTGTGCCACAGCGACCCACTTAGAGATAGTAAGTCTTTGTATTTGGTGGTGTTCAGGGTTGTAAACCAGTATGTGCTGAACCAGGACTCCAATCTGGATAGCCTGACTACTAGGTCCATGCTGCCACATTACATTATGCTATATCCCTACTATGTGTTTGTGGTCTGGTTTACTCACTGCATTTACATTGGGGGGGGGGGCAGCAGTGCACTATGGATTGAAACTAGGGCCTCTACACTGAGCTACATATTCCACCCTTTTTAATTATTATTTTTGAGACAGATTTGTTAAGTTGCAGAGGCTGGGCTTGCATTTGTGTTCCTTCTGCCTTGGTTTCTCAGAGTGCTGAAATTACAGCATATGCTACCACAACTGGCTTACTCAAGGCCTGTATATTGCTGGCAAATGTATGTAATCTCAGTATTCTGGAGGCTGAGGCAGGAGGATTGCAGTGAGTTTGAGGCCAGCCTGAACTACATAGCAAGACTCTGTGTCAAAAAACAAAATAAGGGCTGGGGATATAGGTCAGTGGCATAAGCACCTGCCTGGCAAGTGCCAAGTCCAGAGTTAAATTCCTAGTTCCAAAAAAACCAACCAAACAAAAAAAAACAAAGAACAAAAACCAAAAACAAAATAAAATGCCTGTATTGTTACTCAATTTACAAGTGACAAAAACAAAAACGAAAGACGTTTGACACCCCATGGTAATTAACAAGTAGTTCTAGAATTAAGTACGCTGCGGGGCTGGGGATTTAGCTCACTGGCAAAAGCGCCTGCCTGGCAAGCGCAAGGTCGTGAGTTCGGTTCCCGGTACCGGAGAAAAACAAAAAGAAAAAAATAAAAATAGAATTAAGTACGCTGAGTATAGGAATGAAGATATAAAAGGGCTGTAAAAAAAATAAATCTTGAAAAACTGGGTTCATTATCCATTATCTGAAATGCTTAGGACCAGAGGTGTTTTGGATTTTGAAACATTTGCATATATAAAATGAGCTATCTTGGGGTACTGGACTCAAGTTTAAACACAAAATCCATTTGTGTTTCACATTCCCCCATACACACAGCCCTTCACACTGAGCTACGTCCTCAGTCCTTTATTAAGACAGGGTCTTGCCCAGTTGCTAACTGTCTAGGGCTTAAATTTGCAATGGTCCTGCCTTAGCCTCCTAGAGTACTGGGGTTACCTCATGACCCAATGGCAAGTTACCAGCCCCTAGCACACCCCAGCAAAACTGTAAAAAGCTAGTGCTATTTCTTTAAAGAGCCAGTCTGATCATCAGATCTTTGCCTCCTTTAGTTCTTCAAGCTAAAGCTTCTTCCCCATTTTTTCTTGCTTTCCAATTCTAATAAATCTGCTTCCCAGCATCTTTCTCTCATGCATCCTGTAGTTTTTTTTTTTTTTTTAAATGATAAAAGTCAACGAACTTACCCCTTGGGGGGTGGGCAATTGGGCTCCCCATGTCCTCCTTGGGGGAACTCCTCTTTTGTTCAGTAACATACCAGTTTTATGATTTTCTTCTGAATTGAGCAAAAGAACCCTTAGCTGGTTTATAACGTATCTGCATTCAAAAACATTTTGGATTTAAGAGCACCTTGGATTTTCAGGTTAGGGTTGCTTCACTTGTATAGGGCTTCACTAACAACTGGCTTCCTCCCTCTTCATGATTAAGAGAAGGTGCAGGATACCAGGTATCAATCTCAACAGGAGGAATCCCAGCACTATGTGGGCAAATAATAATGGGCTGAATCCACTGGGACAGGAGCTTTGGGGAGCCCTGGGCGGCTGTTTCACTATCTTTGCCTCCATCACACCTTGTGTGGCTCAGAATGCTCAAACAGGGCATAAATAACTGAAAAAATCACTAGTTTGACAAATGTAAAACAGTATTTAAAAAGCACATTGAGCCA